TCAATCGCCCCCCAGTGGCTGGTCCCAGTACAGCTCATAAACCCAGTGTCTAGATCGCCCCCAGTGGCTGGTCCCAGTACAGCTCATAAACCCAGAGTCTAGATCGCCCCCAGTGGCTGGTCCCAGTACAGCTCATAAACCCAGAGTCTAGATCGCCCCCCAGTGGCTGGTCCCAGTACAGCTCATAAACCCAGAGTCTAGATCACCCCCAGTGGCTGGTCCCAGAACAGCTGATAAACCCAGAGTCTAGATCGCCCCCAGTGGCTGGTCCCAGTACAGCTGATAAACCCAGAGTCTAGATCGCCCCCAGTGGCTGGTCCCAGAACAGGTGATAAACCCAGAGTCTAGATCGCCCCCAGTGGCTGGTCCCAGAACAGCTGATAAACCCAGAGTCTAGATCGCCCCCAGTGGCTGGTCCCAGTACAGCTGATAAACCCAGAGTCTAGATCGCCCCCAGTGGCTGGTCCCAGTATAGCTCATAAACCCAGAGTCAAGATCGCCCCCAGTGGCTGGTCCCAGTACAGCTGATAAACCCAGAGTCTAGATCGCCCCCAGTGGCTGGTCCCAGTACAGCTGATAAACCCAGAGTCTAGATCGCCCCCAGTGGCTGGTCCCAGTATAGCTCATAAACCCAGAGTCAAGATCGCCCCCAGTGGCTGGTCCCAGTACAGCTGATAAACCCAGAGTCTAGATCGCCCCCTGGTGGCTGGTCCCAGTACAGCTCATAAACCCAGAGTCTAGATCGCCCCCTGGTGGCTGGTCCCAGTATAGCTCATAAACCCAGAGTCAAGATCGCCCCCAGTGGCTGGTCCCAGTACAGCTGATAAACCCAGAGTCTAGATCGCCCCCAGTGGCTGGTCCCAGTACAGCTGATAAACCCAGAGTCTAGATCGCCCCCTGGTGGCTGGTCCCAGTACAGCTCATAAACCCAGAGTCTAGATCGCCCCCTGGTGGCTGGTCCCAGTATAGCTCATAAACCCAGAGTCTAGATCGCCCCTATGGGAAATGTATTTTATACTATATTGATTTATTTAATCAAAAATGCGATGTAATGTGAGACACATCCGTATCTCATATTTTCCTAATGTCTTGTACCGTTAAATATACAAATGATATGCAGATGAGGATATGCATAGTAAGCGAGGCGTTGTAAGCTCATATATCGGAGAAGAGACGCATGTGAACATAATCTTCCTCTGACTGGGGTAATAAAGAGAATATTTCGCAGGTTCTGGCATACGTTTTATAAGTCTGAATATTATTTGGTGTACGCCATGTTTGGGTTTCAGCGCACGTATACTCAAGCAAACTCAAGCTGTCAGTGTGAAACATGTCAGATGTTGGGAGGCTTGTATCTGAGCATATACTGACATTCAAACAATTGAATCCAAAACACATAATGAATCTAAATCAAGTTGAGCAGATTCCTTTTCCAGATCTTTCTCTCTCACGATTGGAGTTCGAACGAAATCCACCGGCAAAAGTGGTTTCAAAGCGCACAAAAGAGAACTATTACCCAACAGTGTCGAACACACTCACTGCTGACAGGACCAGCACTCAGAGTTAATCACCTCAATGAATGAAGCGTTTTTGACTGTCAGCGGTGACAAAGACGAGACAAAACACAGAGATCATTATAACTGTGATTAGTGAGTATAAGTGATTTTGATTTAAACACACTGATGAAAACATAAAAACTGCAAGATATTATCAATTCACTCACACTAGATAAGAAGTCCTGTCAGTCAGTGTAAGAGTGTCTAAAATGAATATGACATGACAAAATACCTAAAAATGCAGCTAAAACTGATCAGTCTATCACAGTTTTTCGCCCTCAGGTTGTTCAAACCCTGCATTTACCTGACTATCCTGTAAACCCTGACTTTCTTTCTTGTGTTGAACACAAAAGATGTTTTGAAAAATATTGAGGTCTAATCACACAGAAAGCAAAATAGTCCCACACCTGGTAGATACACACACGGCATAGATCTGGCCCACATCTGGTACACACGGATTTCACACGGCCCAGATCCGGCCCACATCTGGTAGACGTGGATTTCACACGCCATAGATCCGGCCCACATCTGGTACATGTGGATTTTACACAACCCAGATCTGGCCCACATCTGGTAGATGTCGATTTCACACGGCCCAGATCTGGCCCGGATCAAGCCTGACACTATGTTTGCTGTCTGGGCAACTTTTACAATCATTACATAGAAGAAAAAAAACAGAGACATCTTCTTTTGTGCTCTTTAAATGATGACATAATGATTTTTGAGGCGAACTTGTAAATCCCAAAACCACACACAACAAAAGACTGCAATAAGCTCAGCCGACCCGAAGTAGATCATGTTGGTCTTTAAAAGTCAGAGACCACTCTTACCTGATCTCCAGATGCTTCAGTTTCAGACACCTGGCCTTTTGTCCATATATTCGTCACAATTACTTACCTTTACCTAATAAAAACAAAGGAGAAATTGCACGTTGCAATGAAAACGCATTTATTATTCTCAAAATCAACGGCGAGGCATTCGACAAGTGGCTGGCAGCTGGAAAACGACCCAGCGAGTCGGCGAGCGGGTCGAAAGAGATCAGAACTGAACTAGCCAAAGGATCCGGGTGAGTTAGTGAGACTGAGGGGTCAGGAGGAAGAGGAGGAGGAGGAGGAGGGACTGCGTGAGCCGCTCGTATGTGTGGGGTTGGAGGTTAGTACTTTAGTAAATAACAGCAGGTCAGACACAAAAATGGTTGTTAGTACAGTTACAACAAAGGTTTCATTCGGATTAGTAAGAGAATTTGGGTTTTAGTCTTTTAGTAGAGTAGTAGCAGTCAATTGGGGAAATCCTTTGCGATTTCATTCAACAAAGAGTTTGAATTGTCACAATTGGAGGGTTTTGAGGTTAAGAGGAAGGAAAATGAACCATCCAAAAACCATCACAACATGGGGAAGAAGCCATGCAGTTGGATGAGCAAATGAAGATGGCGTCAAAATGGGAACGTTCAACCAATGGACACAATCAAACATCTGAGCAAAAGCGCTCAGCAGCCGATGGCAGGGAGGAGTCGAAACTGAGTCACATCACGGCACAGATGGCAAGAGGAGGGCATTTAGTTGATTAAGGGGTTAAATCTGAAGGTGGGACACAATAAAATGAGCACTATAAAGTCCACAGGTTTGCGTGCAAGCCGAGACTCTTTCGGCTTGGGCATCGCAGACTCACTCTCGCTGCAAGCGGATGAAAGCATGCACACAGAAGGACTCGGAAACGTCACACAGATGAGTGTAAATGAGCGATGCTAACATTCATCTGCGCTGAGAGCTGTCAGTCATCTACGTCTGTCCGAATGACAATTACCCAGCCTGCATTGGGTCAAATAACCGATCCCTCGTTCACCCAGACGGCCTGAAATATTGTTATTCTAGGGCGCCGAACCCCTGCCAGAGTTCATTAGATCTGTATAATTGCATACTAATGCTAGCGGCCCAGGCTGATTACATCATCCTGAAGGAGCCAGAGACCCGTCAATCACGCTAGCCCTCGCCACCTTTATTATTACCAAGCAGGGCCTTTCCTGAGGTTTGATTATTCCTGTGACTGGGGGCTTGGCTTTATACGTTCATAAATATGCATATATGTATATGTGCTGGGCAACATATACGTACACAAATACCAAAGAAAGAGTGTCGTTATTGAGTTAGTATTGATGTTAATGAACAGTTCCTAAATTCTAGAAATTCTCCTGATTCAAAGCAGGGGGCGGAGCCTAGTGCTTGACGAGTCCAGTGACAGGCAGTAAAGGACATCCTCTCTGAGACACAGTTTTAAAACTGTTCATTCAAATATAAATATGAATATTGTACGTAAAAATAAAAAAAAATTACGGCAACTAATTGAAATAAACACTCTTGAATTGAAGTGCTAAAATTAGTAAGAGTAAAACTGAATTTAAAAAAAATGTCAAATATATTTACGTACTGTGTATGGAAACTAACTGAAATGAACATGTTTAAGTGCTAAAATTACTAATAGTAGAAGTGAAATAAAAAATATTAGATGTAAAACTTATACTTAAAAATGTAAATGAAATTTAGAAATGTTGCCTTGGCAACTAACTGAAATAAACATGTTTAAGAATTAAAGTTATGAAAAGTAAAACTGAAATATATATAAAACTTAATAAAAATTGAAAATAAAATTCAAATGAAATCTGAATTAGTATATGAATGATAGTAACCCAGCAGGGTTAGTTCGTTTCTAACCTGTACATCAGTGCAAATCGACAGCATCTCCTGGGAAGTTGAGCTTCAGTAATAATGAATTGTTCATGTTTAATAATTAGGTTAGTTGTGCACTAATGAAACCATCGCTCAGCCTGACCTCAGTGAATAAACGCCTGGCTTTGGCCGAGTCCATCCACAACAGAACTGAAACGCTCTGGATCCGCTGGATAAATCTCGTAACGGGGTGTTTTACGACCCACTCTGAACCAGCGCCAGTAAATCCAGCCGCAGAGACGAGGATCATCACCTTGAGCTGGATATCAAACCTGCTGATGATGGATCGAGATGCTGAGTTTCTCAGCTCAATATCTCATATTAATATTAATATTCTGGCCAGCGCCGCATCCATACTGTCTGCCACTGGATCCATCAGCACCTCAAGCGATTAAACGTGCAGTAAAACGTTCATCGTGAGACTCGACATTACCATTACTCTGCAAGTTCTCCATAAACTAATTGAACATAACTAATAAATGTTTGGTCTCTAGATCTAGGTCCTGAAGGGAAGGGAGGCGTAGGATGGACAAAACAAAGTGAAAAGGATGATCGAATGAGACAAGAGTGAATCTCTGTAGTTTCATTGCTACCTTGATACCAATGGGAATTTGTGTAGTCAGTATAAGCAAACAGAATAGAAATAGGAAACGGAAATCCAGGGCAAACCAAAGTAGAAGACAATTAGAATGATATCTACCATATAATGCAGTTTGTTTACCATAGCGTGTCCAATGCCTGAGTGCTTTAGGAAAAAAACAAGGGAAGGGAAAGAAAATATATAGAATAATGACAAATTGTGAAGTCAATCAAGGTCTTTTAAAAGGCAGCGGTCGTAGCCTGTTAACTGTCCGTGTTATCTCGGATTCGTTCCAAAGCTTCAACGCTCAAACGTCATCCAGTCAAAAGCGTTTTGAAATCGAACGCTTTGTTGCAATGGAAACCATACTTGAAAACATATTAAAATATGTATAAAATATAAGCATTAATCGTCAGTTCAATGCAGATCCTCAGAGCGAGCGACAGTTAACAGGTTAAACCAGCCTGGCTCTTTCTTTTCCTGATTTTGTTTTTGCCCAAAGGAATAAAGATCCAAATTTACAGAATTCTTTCTCTTCATTGAAGGATTTGTCAACCAAAAGAAAAACATGACAACAGTATTGTTATTATGGTTAGTAGGTCAGTACGCAAGTTAATTCTGAAGAAAACAACAGATGGCCCACATTCCGTGAATGACACGATGTTAGTCGTTTCAAAGGAACACAAACAGGTCAAAATGAAAAGTAAACTGGAAGAATCTGAAGCTGTCTGGTTAGTAAGAAGACACAAGAGTTAGGAAACCACGTGGGAAGATTAGGGAGGGGCTGACTCGAGTGGGAGGGGCTAGAGGAACAGCAATCGTTCTGATTGGCTAGTCCTGTGAGTGGGCGTGGTCTGTTTGCGGACGGGTCTCGTTACTGGCAAATTTGGCCAAGCTTGGTTTTTGAAGTAGAGCAAGAAATCGATCTTCTGTGGCTGACGACTGAAAGGAGGCAAAAACACAACAGCATGAACAACATGAAAAGGAAAACATCTTATTTGGTCTTTCAACACATTTGAGAAACACGAAAAGACATCCTTCTGCCGCCAGCTTGAACCTGGAAGAAAAGAGTAGCTGTGATTAGGAAGAAGACCGGATTCAGATCCAGACCCATGCCTCAGTTCAGACCTGATCAGACCTGTGTGTGTGTGTGTGTGTGTGTGTGTGTGTGTGTGTGTGTGTGTGTGTGTGTGTGTGTGCGTGCGCTGTAGACAAGAAAAAAATCACTCAGATCATGTGTGTTATTGAGCTGTTGCTTTACTAAGTGAACAGACGCACCATTGTCACCTGAAAAATGCTATAGATGCACATTGAGGGAGGAACCAGAGCCAAATGCTGCATAGCAATGCCTTGGCAACCCTAGTAACCCCCCTAACAACACTCTGGTAACCCCTTAACCACACCATAGTAAATGCCTCACAACACCATAGTAACCTCTAACCACACCCTAGTAACCCCCAAACAACATCCTAGTAACCCCCTAACCACACCCTAGTAACCCCTTAACCTCACCCTAGTAACCCCTTAACCACACCATAATAAATGCCTAACACCATAGTAACCCCTTACCACACCCTAATAACCCCCAAACAACATCCTAGTAACCCCTTAACCACACCATAATAAATGCCTAACAACACCATAGTAACCCCTAACCACACCCTAATAACCCCCAAACAACATCCTACTAACCCCCTGATTACACCCTAGTAACCCTCTAACAACACTCTGGTAACCCATTAACCACACCCCAGTAACCCTTTAACCACACCATAGTAAATGCCTCACAACACCATAGTAACCTCTAACCACACCCTAGTAACCCCCAAACAACATCCTAGTAACCCCTTAACCACACCATAATAAATGCCTAACAACACCATAGTAACCCCTAACCACACCCTAATAACCCCCAAACAACATCCTAATAACCCCCTGATTACACCCTAGTAACCCTCTAACAACACTCTGGTAACCCATTAACCACACCCTAGTAACCCCTTAACCACACCATAGTAAATGCCTCACAACACCATAGTAACCTCTAACCACACCCTAGTAACCCCCAAACAACATCCTAGTAACCCCCTAACCACACCCTAGAAACCCCTTAACCTCACCCTAGTAACCCCTTAACCACACCATAATAAATGCCTAACAAAACCATAGTAACCCCTAACCACACCCTAGTAACCCCCAAACAATATCCTAGTAACCCCCTAACCACACCCTAGAAACCCCTAACCACACCCTAGTAACCCCCTAACAACACCCTAGTAACCCCTTAACCACACCATAATAACTGCCTAACAACACCCAAGTAACTCCTAAGTAACCCCACACCCTAGTAACCCCCCAAACAACATCCTAGTAACCCCTAAACCACACATTGGTAACCCCATAAAAACCCCTTAGTAATGCCCTAACAACACCCTGGTAACCCCCTAACAACACCCTAGTAACCCCCCTAACAACACTTTGGTAACCCCTAACCACACCCTAGTAACCCCTAAACAACATCATAGTAACCTTTAACCACACCCTAGTAACCCTCTAACAACACCCTAGTAACCCCTTAACCACACCATAATAACTGCCTAACAACACCCTAGTAACCCCTAAGTAACCCCACACCCTAGTAACCCCCAAACAACATCCCAGTAATCCCCTAACAACACTCTAGTAACCCCCTAAACCACACCCTAGTAACCCATAACCACACCCTAGTAACCCCCAAATAACACTCTAACCACACCCTAGTAACCCCCTAAGCACACCCTAGTAACCCAAGTAAGTGAGTGTGATAAACTCCTGTCCCATCAGGATCTCTTCAGGACAGCCGTGCGTACGATTGTGTGTTTCGTGTACACTGTACAAACTTGTAAATAACTTAATTTATAATTCATACCTTACAATTTCACAATTAATTCAGTGCGTTACTTGCTGTTTCTTAATTTTTGTATAATTTAATAGCAATTTTTGCGTGAAAATTGTTTCTTAGCTTTTTTTTTAAATCCTCGTTTTTCACAGCAGAGTGAAGTCTTATGCAGATGCATGATATACAGCGGATATTTAAATGAGCTGATATTTAGCAAAAACAACTATAATGCAGAGCAATAAGTATGAACACACACACACACACACACACACTCTCTCCGTTCATCAGATCCAGCAGGACATGTGCAGTGATTATACCTCGACGTCTTTATGAGAAAACACACTCACATCACCGTTAATACACATTCACAGCCTATGCAAAGTTATTTCAGAGAATAAGAGATCCATGAATACTGCATAAGTCTACACACCCTTCAATAATTAGGTAAATTTACATTTGAACTGCATACAGATATGATTTATCTTTCTTGAATTTTGAACATCATAAACCCAGCTGTTTAAACAGGGTTCAGACTTTATCCACTGTACATACACAGGGTGAAACAGGACATTTACATTATAACGGACTGTTTGGTCAAAGCTTTTCACTATTGAATTAATCGTAACACTTTGCTTAAAGCCCGTAAGTATAATGCTTTATAAATATATTCATAATGTATATTATGAACCATAATATCTTTTTAATTGTAACCAAAGTTAAAATGCATTATAATACCATATATTATTAGCTTTATAATATTGGCAGATTCTGAAATTGGTTATCACGTGTTTGAATGTATTATGCTGTCTAAAGATGTGTTCAATGATTATATACATATTATAACTAGTTACAGTTCGTTATGCGATAGTACAGTGCATTGAAAGGCATAATTCATGTATTCAAATACTTTTGTAATGTATTATACAGGCTTTAAGTACAGTGTTATGGAAATAATTAGCTAAAGTATGTGTGCAATATGTGCACCCCATCTCAGACGTGCGTTTTCACTGGGAAACATCAGTGCGCATTCACGGCTCTCCACTGGGTGGCGCTGTCGTGCTTTACCGGCGCCTTTCATTATTTATTACATCGATTTTCATTTATTATTCCCCTCATTCTGACTGTTATATATTACACACAGAACAAACACTGGCACACACACACACACACACACACACTCACAACAGTGTGTGTGTGTGTGTGAATGTCACAGTTGCTCTATTGATTATCTGGAGGAACAGCTTTGAGTAAATGTGAGGTCAGTGTATGTTTGAATCAGGTCAATAAACCAGCCACCTCTAACACACACACACACACACACACACACACACGTTTTGTTTTTATCGTGGAGTGGGTCTTTCCAATGACGTTTATTGTGTTTATACGAGTGAATGATATTTTCGACCCCATAAATCCTGGCAAGACCCTTCTCTTCTCATCGAGAGCCAATCGTGATGCAGTCGTTAATGGTTTTGTGACATCGCTTCAATCCACCATTAAATCCATTGAAACAAAAAGCCAGTGTTCTGCTTTCTTATTGGCCGGTTTTGTCAAGCTGAAGAAACTGATTCTGAACACACACTGTTCCCCGTTTGTTCTGGAGAGGAGAATAAAGACTCGAGTGTGTAATTGAATTCAGGCGCCGACAAAAGATTTTCCCTTTTGTTTCCTCTCTGGATTCACAGAGCAGCCAATAGCAACAGGCATCACCACAGAGGACACGCCCCCCAGCCACAGCAGCCAATTACAATCGCTCTTATTACGGGTGACATGTCATTCGTTCCAATTACAATTACCAGAGCAGAGACGGAGTGAGCGAGGCAACGAAAGTGAAATCGATCGCATCTCTGAGACACTGTCTGACAATTACTGAAGCCGTAGCGAACCATTCTTCTCGTTTATTCAATCTGTGTGTGTGTGTGTGTGTGTGTAAGGGTGTTTCTTCAACTATAACACACACGTTTACACCCCATTCTTTCATCCCAAGAGAATATCAATCCAAAGACGTTTTACCTTCATTTCGTCATATTTTGTTCCAGATGAGTTTTTTAATGACTTTTATATGATTCCAAAAGCAAACCTTTAATAAACACTAGAGCATCATTTTTATCACAAGCAACAGTTTTGCCCTGTTACAGTTTTATTATATGCAGCTACAAAACAATTCATGTAGAAATTTCACTCAGGAATTGCTAGTAAATTCCACAATTAATTATTGCAGAGAAACAGCAGGAACACACTGAATTTCACATGACATTTTGGAGTAGAAACTGAAATATTGTTTTCTTGTAAAACATTCACCAATTATGTTTGTTTTCCCCTGATAACCAGTGCACTAAAGAGACGAGACGGAGACGACATATCTAGATAAATATCAGCCAAACGGAATATTTTTATTGTGTGCTCTTTCTAACTGAGCTGTAATTTGGTGGAAATATGCAGAAAATATTAAAGCATGATTTGAGGATTGCATTTAGGACACATCAAATCCTGAACAGAAAAAATTAAGTTTTTAAACGTCCAGTAGGTCAACAGCGTCCATATGAAGAAGCTGCACATATGATTCAGTGTGTGTGTGTGTGTGTGTGTGTGTGAGTCATCAGTGTGGAGGTGTGTTTGCTCTGCCATAATAAAACACATCTCGTTGTGTTGAATAAGTGTTGGCAGTGTTATAATGTGTTTAGTGCGGTTATTTGTTCATTTCTGTTCTTTTTCAGTCTAATCATTGAATCCTGGGTTCGATCCTGTGGAGCGAGTGGCGAGTTCGCCCCCTGAGGCCTGCAGACTTCATTAGCTGCGAGTCAATGTCAGATGGACAGCTCTTCTCTGAAGAACATTAAGTTAAGGTGCACATAATGAAGTCCTGAAGCTGAAGCACAGGTCTGAATCTGTCCGGATCCAGCGGAACGAGAACAAAACACACTGATCTCAGACCTGTCGGGAAGCACCGGGGGTTGTGGGCGTCGCCGGAAACGTCGACGGCCAATGATCATTCCCGGGGCGATCCCGCCCTCTCCCGTGTGATTCCCGACCTGGACCTGCTCTTCCTCAGTGTTTCAGAAAGCAACTCTTAATGTCTTCAGTCATTCGCTTCTTATTTTACTCTGTTTTTTTTAGTTCATATTTTGCATTTTTAGGGGATTTTATGATACTACGCTGTATTTACAATCCATTTATTGACTTTTTGAGCGTAGACCTGAAAATGATGATCTTAAACCGCGGAGAATCTGGAACGCTTTAGAGCGACAGACTGAAGACGACACTCGCCAGATTACTGCTGAAGAGAGAAACGTTTTAAAATTTAACTTAGAGAATTTTACGTTAATTGTTATGAAAAATATTAATATCCCCAAAACATGTTTTACTGTAAAACTGTGAACAAAATCAATGCCATAAATCAATATAAGTGTGTGTTCCGCCAAGGGCGTCATATAGTGACGATTTTGCCAATGCGTATACATCCAACGCACACAGCAAACTTTAGCGTCTATATAACACGCTTTGGTTTAGGTCTGGGGTAGGGTTAGGGTTAGACCACTAGGAGGCGCCTTCTGGCCCATATGTATCAGCAGATGTATACGCATTGGCAAAAGCGCCATTATATGACGCCTTGGGATGAGAACGGGCTGTTTCCGCGTGTGAACGTGATCTCTCAGTAAAGGAGCGTTCAGTGAGCGTGTGTTCGGCTGCAGTTCCACACGCTTCCACTAGAGGAAACTCAGCACGTGCCTAACCCTTTACCAAGTTTGGTTTTCCCAGAGGGTTTTAAATGAAGTGCTGAAACCCTGAGGAAGAGCGCTCTCAGTTACCGTGGCGATCTACAGCGTCTGTCGAGAGCGAGCTCGGTCTTACCTGGCGCAGGTTTCGCGTGACTTTGACATCGTGCCAAGCGTTGTCATTGAACTTCCCGTTGACCGGCTCCACGAGGGCCTCGAAGGCTCCGGAGCCCAGGTTGATGACGAGCCACACGGCGCCGCTCTTCAGGGACAGGTTGACGTAATCCGCAGATTTCCCGGTGTGGAGCATCAGGCCGTTGCGCTGGAGCGTCCGGAAGGACAGCGTGATCTCGTCCGTGCTGCTCTGGATGGGGGTCATGGACAGATCGTAGCAGAAGAACTCGTTCCCCTTGAACGTGGCGACCGATTCCTCTTTCCCTGCGGAGAGACGGAGAGAACGTCAAACACACACCTGAGTGACAGCACTGGAGTAAAACTACACCGGTGTGATGATGCCTGACGGGTCTCTTTAATGGTCCATATTGAACATCCGTTATTTCCTGACTCAAACTCACTTCTCCGGTACATGTATCTTACTTAATAATCTTTCTACATGTGTGCTGAATCGCAATGAGTTGTAAACATGTAAAACTAAAGCTCAAAGCGAATGTTCTGGTGGTATTCCCAACGCAGCGCTCTCACGGGACACACACACTTCTCCAGAACACACAGTCCTGGAGATTACGGCATTCCCGTATTCGTGAGCGCTTTTAGCAAACGTGAGAATCCTCTAGAGAACGAGATGAACTGAAGTCTGCTGTAACCGCTTTCATCCGAAGTGACTTACATCCGTTCCTCCAGCGGGATCAGTTTACACGAATCTAAACTACAGGATCTTAACCACCAAACCACACGTTTATTAATGCTTCATCGGACTCGGGTTAAGATGCTCCCGCTCTGCTGGGGTTTAACATCAACATGGGCTTTCTGAAAACCCTGCGAATATTTGAATGCGTTTTTCAGGTTTATTCGTTCACACACCCCGCAGTGTTTCCTTCAGATGTGGAGAACATCCTTACTAATATATGTTAGGAATACAGATGATGCCTGAAGCACTTCTAACACACACACACACACAGTCACACATCTACAGATGACAATTGAGTCGTCAGTGTTGATTCAGTTCATCATGAAACGAGTCATTATCGAGCTCAATGAACAGATTTTTGCATGATTCCATAAATGTGAGAAAGAACAGACCAATCATGATTCAGTATGCAAATGAGGTATGAGTGGAGACCAATCAGGACACATCTGGTGAAGTGTGTGTGTGTGATCCGCGTGTAATGTCCCGCTGCACCTCTGTGTCTGGCCCGTGAGCTTTAACACAGCCTGATCCCCATCGCTCCAGCGAGTCGGTCGGGATAAACCTCCGCCTGTCTAAAGCTCTTCTTGTGAGATCTAGTGCTCCTCACACACATCTTCTTCCTCAGTATTTCCAGCAAAAATATTCAAATGGGGTCATGAACTGGGAATTCATGAGGTTATAGTAAAAAATAACCGTACGTTTCAAAACTAAAAACTTCCTTGAAAAACAAAAACAGCTTTTATTGAAACCAGGGCCAGAAAACAACAGTGTGAGAGTCTCCGCAGTGTGTTATTTGTTTGTCTCCGGTGCATTTCACTGTGGATTATTTTATGATATGGATCCGCCAGCAACACCACCAACATGTCAGTAATCATGTTTATTCTAATGCCTGATCTGTGATCAGTGATCTACTCAAGTTCAAAATCGTTCCGTTTATGCATCAGCAAATCAAGCCAGTGACTAAACCATCAACTTTCTCTTAGTAGGATGAAAATAATCATATTTAAACTGTGATTAAATTATAGACAGAAAGAGATCATCTGCTCAATGCTCATCACTGCAACCTTTCATGAGCTGTGATCTAAATAATCTCACTTTCACAATTCAGAAATCTCCATAGCGGTAATGATAAACGCGTGCAAACAGTTTTTGAGAGAGTTCCACTTGTAATAGTAATTTCATATGCAAACATGTCAGCCAATGACAACGGTGGGCGTTTTCACTGAAGACTCACAGCAGCCAATCACAGCGGTGGGTGTTTACACTGACACACCCCCTCAAACCGAGTGTTCCAATCAGAGGCTAAAATCAGGCTAGAAGAAAAAAAGAATGTAAAAATCGCACTAACATTATAAGGGCACCCCAGGAAACATTATACATTGATGAAACACTCAAATTCATGACCCTTTAAACATTCGTAAATCGAGATATATATATATACAGGAGAAGCAAAGCAACTGAAGAGATGGTGAGACTTTAATGTCAGGATCTTTAACGGGAAGCTCCCGTGTTCTCCGTCTCTGAACTCAGGCTGAGGGGGCGGACCTGCACTCAATGCTCTAATGTGATTGGCTGGAGCGCTGAGGCCTCCGTGATGTGATTGGGTGACTGCTGTGTCATTACCGTGGCTGATATCCCATCTATGGCTGCTAATTAAACCAAAATAATTACTGCAGTGATGATGTCATGCACAGCTGAAGCACTCGGTGTGTGGGAAACGCAGTTCTGCAGCCAGAACAACAACAACAACAACATGTGTTGATGAAACGCAACGCTTATTTTGCATGATTAATCCAATGTGTCTATAAATGCCGGAGCTTTTGTCAGTCTGATAGAAGAATGAGTAAAGAGAGATGTTAAATCAGTGTTTCAGTCAGCGCACTGGAAGTGGAAGAACGAGTTGAGTGCACTGCATTGTGGGACATATTATTCAGTGTGTTCACCTCACAAACACACTCACACAGACACACACACACACACACTGTCACAAAAGCAGAAGAGCATGTAGGATTAGACACTAAACATACAGACAACTCCAATCTTCAACCAGAGGAACTGGATAAATGTAGTCAATGTTCTGATCCAATCTGACCTCAGACCTGCTCCCGATCATAATCACACTGTTCACTGATTGGCCGGAGGAGAACTGAGGCCGAGTCTGGGTTCTGCAGAGGGTTTCTCCGTTCTGGTTCCTCCACTGTCGCATTGGCATTAGTCTTGCTTATTTGTGGACATTCATATTCAACATTATTATTGATCTCCTGCATTATATGAGAACTGAACTGAGCTGGACGATGACATCACAGATTTCTCCAGAGCGGCATATATGAATGAACTAATATTACAGCACAAATGAAGCATCACTGAACTTAAGCTGGACTATGACACTGTCAGGAGGTCCGAGACTGACCGAGAGCTCGACGCGGCCAGAGACGACTGAGGAGAACTGAAGAGTGGGCCATCATCAGACGGGTCACTCAGCTATGATGAACAGAGGCCGTCTACACGTGTGCTGGGACCTTTCGTTATGAGCGACTGTGCTCCAATCATCTCGAAAACAAGACAATTCCCCATAAAGCAGAACTGCACTGAGATCAGGCCGTGTCAGGCCTCCAGCACTGCGACCCGTCTCACACACACACACCCCCACAAGACACATTTTCTCCAAGGTATTTTTACGTTAACAGTCCCAAATAATGTTTTTGAATATATGAATATAAAAATAAAAGAGCTTATTTATGCTGACCGTTCTCAGGATGATGATCAACATCTTCTGACAACAGAGGACAAAGATCCAGCTCATCAATTCAATTCATCCAGTTCAGTTTCACACAAACCCACATTAAAAACAGTATATAAATGTTCAACCAAAGTTGGCATGAGTTGCTTTTCACTCTGAATGTTGCTGTTTTTGAGAGATGATCTCTGTATTAATAGAGCGGTCTCATAAGCACATGTGAGCGAACTGGAAGACGTACACTGTGGTCATGTGTGTGTTTGTCCCGCATGTACTGTAGGATATCGCTGAGATATTTCTGAGCTCTGCCGGACAACGCCGTGTGCGGTTTGTTTAACAACGACGACAGCTTTTCAATTTTACCCCTCACTGAGCAAAACACCCGCACAGCGAAGACTAATGCCACGGTACTTCTGTTGAGTCGGTCTTTATGCATGTGTGTGTGTGTGTGTGTGTGCGTATGTGTCCATGCATTTTACTGAACGATTATTACAGCAAAATACAGAATCAGGATTGATGACTCACGAGAGAGAAAAGCAATAATGTGAGACATCATCAAACGTACTGTGAACGTCGAGCTTCGCTTCAGTGGAGACGTCGCCTTCGTAGGGAGCGGCCTATGTAGGAGCCTTACGACCGAGCTGTGGTGATCATAAAGAGTTACAGTACACACACACACACGTCTGGTTTTGTCTGACTCTCCATAGACGTAATGGTTTTTATACTGTGCAAACTATATATTTTATCCCCTTACACTTTCCCTATCAAACACACACACACACACACACACACACAGCATGATATGAAATTTGATGAATTTTTAGATCAGTTTTTCCTCACTCTAATGGTGAATCAAATATGAAGCAAAACAAAAGGCAGTGTTTGATGTGACGCTGAGGAGAGCTGGTGTGTGTCTCGTGTCATGATCCGCAGATACGCAGCAGAACTGAAAGCTGGATCCCCGCAGCAGAACCGACAGCGCTGTCAACAACACGTGTACTTTCAGCTGAGACGCGACGCCGCTGGTCAATACGAGCGCTGCTACACACTCACTATCAGACGCTCTCCTGCTTTCTAATGGATAATTAACGCTTATTGGCTTCTTTTAAATACCGCCCGACCTCTTCAGGAGCAATTTAAGGGGAATCTGTTTTTAATGAGACTGTGAGCAGTTTAATGCCGCTAGTGAGAGTCCGGACACTAGTGAGGACCGTCTGAGTCCTGCAGAGTTAAACAGGTCAAGGGTCTCGTTGGTTTATTTATTGTGTTTTATGTGTGTGTGGTGTATCACGGGTGTTTCCGGCGCTCAGACGGACGAGTGTAAATCTGCCAACGGAATTGATTCATGAAGAGATGCTGTAAAGCAGTGGAAAACTGAACTGTTGTCCTGAGTAGAGGAACATGACAGATTAAAGTGAGCGGGACTCAAAACAACAGCTGATAATAAACAATATAAACTCAATGTTCAGCTCCTATTTAACTACCGTCATTACAGCAGACGGGACACTAGAGGGAGAGAGAGAGAGAGAGAGGGTTGGTGGACCTCAGTCACAATATTCCTCATTATAATAATTAATGAGCACAATAAAGGGGCGGGGCCTGCTTGAGTTAGTTAGTAGTGTGTTAAACTGGCGGTTATGGAAAGGGGCGGGGCATTTCCCATACACACTCGAAACGCTCGACCAATCGAAACACACCGCTCCAGCCGGCCAATCAGAGCACAGTGTGCTTTTCAGGAGGAGGGGCTTCATAGAGACAGGAAGTGAACAGAGCGATACTGACAGACTGGGAAGAGAGGAGCCGCAACAACGGAGAATATGAGGAGAATAATCA